CAGTTTAAACTAAGCTAGACTTGAAATCTGGTTACCACTAGATTTGGATACGTGAGGAGGATTCATGGAAAATCGCCTTGAAGACTCAATAGGGATTGTATGAGTGGATGGTAATGCCATTTAGGCTATGCAATGCCTTGGCTACTTTTATGTGGCTTATAAATGACATCTTGCAACCTTGCGTTGAGGATTTTGTCATTGTCTGCCTTAATGATATTTTGATATATAGTGCTTCTATGGAGGAACACATTCGGCACATTTGCAAGGTATTTGACTTACTTTACTAGCATAAGTTACTTTTGAACCCAAAGAAGTGTGAGTTTGGGAAGATTGCTTTGGTATACCTGGGATTCATTATAGGTGGAGGTAACCTACAATTTGACCCGAACAAAGTTAAGGCCATCACAAAATGGCCTTGGCCACGGACAGTCACCAAATTTTGGAGTTTTGTGGGAGCTTGCCAATATCTTTGGAAGTTCATTCATAATTTTTCCATTATGACTTCACCTCTACATGCCTTGACCAAAGCGAATCAACCTTTCATGGGGAAAGAGAATAGGAGGAGGCCTTTAATCTCCTGAAGGGGAAGATCTGTTAGGCACCTACCCTTGGCTTGCCTAATTTGCAAAAATCTTCTAAGATAAAGGTAGATGCATCAGGATATGCTATGAGAGCCGTGCTCATGCAAGAGGGGTGACCGGTGGCTTACCATTCGGAGTTGTTTCAAGGGGCTCAAAGGAATTACCTGGCTTATGGCAAAGAATCACTAGCTTTATATTAAGTAGTGAAGCATTGGTAAGTTTACCTTTTAGATAAGGAAATAATAGTGCACATCGATCATCAACCCTTACACTACCTCCAAACATAGTCCAGATCAGAGCAGGTCTAGCACATGAAGTGTTTGACCTATTTGCAACAATTCAATGTCGTCATTCGATACAAGAAAGGGGCACATAATAGGTTGGTGGACATGTTATCTAGATTGCCTATTATAGCTGCTTGCCTTACAGTTATGATGAGCATTGAGCTAGCCAATCACAAGAAATATGCTACTTGGTATTGGAAGATCTTGATTTTTGTGATTGGTTTTGTGAGATAGAAAACAAAAGGCACCTTCAAGGTACAGTTTATGATAGGGGATGTTGTACAAGGATGACTAGCTTTGTGTCCCATGAGCTGGTGATCATTTACGGTAGATACAAGGGGCACATACCTCCAAAGTGGCCGAACATTTTGACACATATAAAATAGTACATAATTTGCAATGGTATGTGTATTGCCTTGATTGCAATAGAATGTGGGCGTTTTGTTTGGAGTTACGAGATGTGCAATGTGTCCAAACTTGCTAACCAAAATGTGGGATTATACAGTCCTTTTTCAGTACCCTCATGTCCTTAAGAGAGTGTATCCATGGACTTTCTGGGAGGTTTACTTAAGACTTGTCATGGCCACGGCTATCTCTGTGTAGTTGTGGATCATTTTTCAAATATGGTTGTTCTAATTTCATGTAAGAAGACCATTACGGGAGTTGAGACAACTAGGTTGTTCTTTAATAATGTATGGAAGTTATTTGGCCTACCTAGTTCTATTATCTTTGATAGGGACAACAGATTTTTTAGCAAATTTTGGAGTATTTTGTGAGAGCTAATGGACATCAAGTTGAAGCGAAGCACAACATTCTACCCACAAACCAATGGGCAGACGAAAGTGGTCAACTAGACTCTAGTCCACCTACTACAAGGTTATAATCTACACCATCCCAAGATTTGGGATGAAAGCATTCGTTCTTACAATTTGCTATTAGCCACATACCTATTAAACAATAAGGATTTAATTGAGGTTTGTTTGGGGCTTCTACCACATACTCCATTCGACATGGAGTTTCAGAGATTGTTACTTCACAATATGAGAAGATGGAACTTGACACTATTAGAGCACAATAGTTTATTGATCAAATATAGCAGGTACACCAAGAAATGGAATGGGAACTAATCAAGTCACAATAGAAGTACACGGAGTGGCATGACCAGCACCACATCCAAGGAAACTTTTAGGATGGAGACATGGTATGGCTGCACTTGGGAAAATAGAGAATGAAAGGTGAGAGCCATAAGCTCAAGCCAATTCGTTATGAGCCCTTCAAGATCGTGCAAAAGACTAGGAATAATATTTGTTGGTTAGATCTATCATTCTACATGCATATGTACTTGGTGGTGAATGTGGACAAGTTAAAGTTAGTTGAGTCGTCGATGCTAAATGATGACACAACTCAACCCCTCTCGACCATAGAAAGCTTGGTGATTAATAAAGAGTTTACACTACCAGAGGATACCATTCTTGAGCAGAAAACGACCACCACCACTAGGAGTGGTAGTCATGAGACATTCAAAATTGGCTTGCAAGGGTAGCATCTCAAAACAACCAAGTGGTTTACTAAGGAAATTACCTTACATGGATTCCCCAACTTCAGTTTAGACAAACATCGAGAGCTAATTCTTGCAATAAGGGGAGCCGTGATCTGGGAGGATTCAAAGGGTACGTAAGAGAATGAAAGGTGGATTTGAAAAGCAAAAAAAAAAAAAAATAGTTACTATAGTAGTTACTATAACAGGGGGCTATAGTATGTTGGAGCCTACTATAGCATGTTGCTCATTGGAATTAGCGACAAAACTCGCTACGGTGAATTTTTTACAATTTTTCTAGATTTTAAGGGTTTTCAACCCCTCCAAGAACTTCTGAGCCCTTTTGGATTCTTAGGGCTATAAAAGGGAGATTGACATCCTAGGGTATCCAAGATTCAATCAAAGGTTTTGCAAAAAGCACTTGACAATCATTCATCTGATTGGAGATCTCCACTTCTGACAAGATTCAAATATCAAACAATCTATTCTAGTCATCTGAGGGTAAAGAATTGGGGATTCAAAACAAGCTCAAAAAGTTAGGTTAAATGTCCTATCTCTCAAGGAATATAACCATTCATTTGGTTTTGGCACAAATGGAGAGATTCAAGAGTTCATAGCAAGCCAATTTCTAGTGGAATGGTCCGGATAACTTATTGATTGACAAATCAAGATGTATGAGTTTTAAGAGGGAACCAATCAAACGTGGAATAATACCCGAGAATTGATTCATGCTGAGATCAAAGTGTGCAAATTTAGTAAGTGGAGAGAATGAAAAGTTGTCCAATGACTAGGTTTGAATTTGTGAGGTTTAACCTAATGATGCTTCCTTTAACATTACAAGACACTCCAAGTCAACTGCATAGACTAGCACTTGGCTCTAGTTGGGCATTGTCAGGATGCAGTACCCATGAACTCAACTTGGAAGCACTGTTGGCATTTTGAAGGCTGTCTTTACATTTGAAAAGAGCTTTAGCTTCTTCAATCTAAGCAAAAGCTACACCAGGGAATAAATTAAACTGCATGAGATCTAGGAATATTGAAACAAGGTAGAGTAATTGCTTTATAAATGACATTTTTTTTAATCCTTTGGTGGGTAGATTCTATTGTGCTGTGAAGTGTGAAAATCACGACCATGATCACGACAACAACCACAAACTACAATTGAAGACTTCAAGGTGCATGCATCCTGAAATGAAAAAAAATCCGTTTTGGACTTTGCCTGTCTATAGTCTTGTTTCTTTTAGTTTGCCTAAAAATTGAGAAATGTTGTGATTACTGGTTCATAGGATTTAATGATATTCTTAAAAATCTTGTTTATTTGCACAATAAGAAAATAGATGATTGAAAATATTGAAGATTAACGGTGAATAATTTAAGTAATTACAAGTGATAGTCCCACGCAAGTTGATATTGTGGGACTATATGGACTGATTGCAACATATATGATAGTATAAGATCAGAAGAAAGAGAATCTACAATATATGAAAACTTCCAAATTAAATTAATCATTGGAAACTGATTGAATCCAGCTCCAAAGTGGGCTTTATAATAACCCATTAAGGGGAACTTTGCCCAAGATTGAAGTCTTAGAGTAAAAAATTGATTGGCTTCTTTTTCTTCAAATTAAACATTCTATATATAAAGACATACATTTGTTTCAAAAGTTATTAGAGTCAATTGCTTCCCATGACCCATTTGTGCATTCACCTAATTTATACATACAAACGTCCTAACATAGGAATTTAAATTTATTATATAGGATTTGGTTAATAAAATTAAGTTTCAAAAAACAGGTTCACAAGAAATAAGTTAAAAGAAGTGAATAAATATTATTATTTAATTATAGAGGATAGTAAAAATAGATTATATATTTTTGAATATTAAATTCATTTTTTAAAATTGAGTTAAGAGAGAATCCAAATAAGAGGGGTAGTTGGAAAAATAACTTAATATTTTTAAAATAAATTTTTTCAAATCAAAATCTCAGAAAATCCTACCAATTTTGAAGGGATTTCAGTGTGAAAATCATATCAAATTCTATAAAATCCAAATCTCATTTTCTTGTCCAAATGGCCAAAATGAGAAGTCCAAATATCATCAAATTTTGTGTTGCCAAACTCATTTGGAAACGTTTTTATTTTCACATGAACATTAATGTGTTTGATTTGGGCCACTTTATTCAATATTTTCTATAAGTATAGGGGTCAATATGAAAAATTTTGAAGTACATGTGCAAAGTATAGGGTCAGAAATGACTTACCAAATCAAATATATTAAAAACAAAAACAAAGCCTCAAGGGATATAACATAAAATTACAAACTTTGATCTGGTCTATTCCAATAGGACATTATTCTAATCAAATTGATGGACTTTTCGGTTTATTTAAAGTTATTGGAAGGAAAATAGAAGTTCTTTGACTTTTTTCGGACTATCTCTTCCTTGAGCAGTGATGTCCAGGAAGATTGTTTTACTCGTCGATGATCTCTATTTATTCGGTTGGACAACAGTTGAGCAGCAACTTGCATATTTGGTCTCTAGAGTATGGATTTGTATGCAAGCATCCGATGGTCATGTTCACTATGCGCATTACTGCCTCCTCAAGGCAATTCACCAGAAAGTTCATTGTCATTTAGCTTGAGATGGAGCAAAAAAGTCAAATTGCCCAACTCTTTGGGGATCTGTCCAGTTAAATGATTTGAAGAGAGATCAAGCCGTTGCAATTGAGATGAATTGCCCAACTCTTTGGGGATCTGTCCAGTTAAATGATTTGAAGAGAGATCAAACCGCTGCAATTGATTTGAATTGCCCAACTCTTTGGGGATTTGTCCGGTTAAATGGTTTGAAGAGAGATCAAGCCACGGCAATTGAATTGAATTGCCCAACTCTTTGCGGATCTGTCCAGTTAAATGATTTGATGAGAGCCGAAGCCACTGCAATTGAGTCAAATTGCTCAACTCTTTGGAGATCTGTCCAGTTAAATTATTTGAAGAGAGATCAAGCCAAAGCAATTGAGTCAAATTGCCCAACTCTGGCAGAATAGAACCCAAGCTCTTTAGGAATTAACCAGACAGTCAATTGTTATAGACGTGCATAACAGTTAGCTTGCTAAGGTTTCCAAGACTAGACAGGATTGAGCCTTTCAACTTGTTGCTATCCATGTAAACCTCAGTGAGACTCGGAAGATTTCCTACTTCGGGAGGAATAGTTCCAGAAATTACGATTGTTAGAAAGATATAGCCGAGATAAGTTTGTCATATTGCCCAAAGAACTAGGAATGGGACCAACAAACTGGTTGCTGGACAACTCAAGCTCAGTAAAAGAAGTTAGATGGCTGATCTCTTCAGGAATTGAGCCATTGAGTTGGTTTCCAAACAAGCGGATAGTCTTAATATTTTTTAGCAAGCCAACTTCTGGTGGAATATTTCCAGAAAACTGATTAAATGACAAATCAAGGTAGATGAGTTTTGAGAGAGAACCAATCAATGGCGGGATGATGCCAAAGAGCATATTATCACTAAGTGTAATATATGCAATATTAGGAAGTGATAAGAATAGAAAGTTGTCCAATGTACCAACTAGGCTTGAGCTTGTGAGGCTCAATTTAACAACGCTTCCCTTAATATTGCAAGAAATTCCAAGCCAATGGCATGCGCTGGCACTTGTGGATGGCCATTGTTTGAAGGAAATTTCCATGACGTCATCATAAGACTGTCAAAACTTTGAAGGCTGTCTTTCCATTTGAGGAGAGTCTTGGCTTCTTCAGTAGGGGAAGAAGCCACTCTAATCTGTGAAGTAAACAAAGGAACAAGAAGAAAAACTGCAACCGATGAGAGTAGAAATTTTAACGATGCCATGTTTGGATACTTAGGTGGGTATTGTTTTAAGGTTCAAGGCTCTTATAAATATGTATAAATTAGTTTTCTAAAATTGGTAAAGACCGGAGACTTGGTTATTGGTAACCAGTTTGACCACTATAAATCAATAGCTCTTTAGAGAAAAAAAATAGCTACACAGAAAACAAAAATGGCTACATAAATACAATGGTCTTTATGAAGTTCAACTTTGCTTGGCATTATTGGATAAGCGTATGATAAAAGTATTGGTTTTCTGTTGCCCTCCATTAGATGGTAAGAATCATGGAATGTAGATTTGATAAAATCTTTATGCTAATTAAATGAAAAAGCATTCAACAGAAGTGTATGACCTTCCAGCATGTATACAACAACCCCCCAACACCCAATGTCTATTACCAATTTTCAATTAATAACCTTGCGTTTACATCTCATGCATTAGTAGAACTTATTAACCTTATCTTTTGAACAGAATGTTAGGGCTTCCATTTTTCTACAACACGTGAACTATTTTCTTGTTTCCTTGGGAGACTTTCAGTTCAATAATATTAATTTCATATCCACCACTTGAAATATACGGTTGGTTAGTTGAATTAATGCAATACAATTATTAATGTCATGTTACGTCTTCTCAGTGATGCAAATTCCACTCTTCTAGGTCAACCTCGATCCATCACTTTCAAGGAAATTTTTGTATTTCTATCATGGAAACCTAAATGAATCTTACTGTATACGACAGAAAATTAAAATGTCTCGTAAGGTCCACAATTGGAAAGAAAATCTGAAACAAGTTGTAGAAAAGTGTTAAAGCCATGTTTTATTTTTAATTTGGATCCAATAAAAATGGAGAGTCCTAACATAATTCGACTAATTGTAAAATGAAAGATAAAATGAAAGTATTATTTCTAGAAGAGGATATTAAAGAGTAATTAATGAAAGTATTAATTAATAATAAGTCAGAAATAGAATTAGAATATTTAGACCAGGAAAAAGGAATATATGAGAATATTAGTACTTCAAAATATAGTTAGTCTAGTAAATTAGAAGAAAATTATGAATTTGGACCATGTTCTTGTAGCAAAATAAATGTAATATCAAAAGACAAGAATATTCTAATAAAATTAGTAGATAAAATAGAAAATCCAGAATTATAAATAAAATATTTAATAAAGATTAGAGATTTATTAGCAAAAGAAAAATTGACTATAATAAAAAATGAAAAGATTATGGATTAAAAGAAGTATTAGAAAACTTTTAAAAGAAAAGAAAAATGATAAGATAATTATAAAAGATTTACAATAAGAAATAATAAAAATAGAAAAGGACATAAAGAAGTTGAAAATGAAAATGAAATAATAAAAAATATAGTGTTTTATAAAAAAGGAGAATCTAGTGAAGGGAAAGAAAAGTTAGAACTAAATTCAAAAAATGAGAATAGTGATAATAAGTCGAAACAAGTTAGTGATATTTAAATGTAATAGAAAAATAAAAACGCAAAAATGGATTATTAGAAGAAAATTAAAAATACATAATTCATACACTGTAGCTCAATTAGTATTAGTAGATTCAGGAGCAGATATTAATTGTATACAAGAAGAATTCGTACCTATTCAGTATTTTGAGAAAACTAAAGAAACTTTGCATACTGCTATAAGGCAATTCTTTAAAATATTCTTATCTTTATTTTTAAGACAAATAGGGCTGCCCATAGTCAGTAATCGGTTTTATCATACTGGCTTTCCCTGTAAGAATTCATGAGTCAAGATATCAGGCAAAGAATTTAAATTTCCTTTGATGAGTTCAAGATCAAAGTTGAATACAAAAGGATGGCTTGCCATCTGGTAAAATTTTCTTTGCGACAATATTCTGAACATCTTTTAATAAAATTTCTTTAACTAACTTACAATTAATGTGGAGAAGAAAACGTTGATTAATAAGATCAGACTAGAATTTTTATATGTAAAGGACAATAAATAAAATTTCTTTTTTGATAGTAGAGTAATTCTCTTGAGGTCTAAGCCAAACTCCTGAATGAAATTATAACTAAATATTCATGAGATGCATTAGGAGAAATTCTTTGCTTCAATATGCCACCATATCCTATTTATTCCCTATCACGCCCCACCCGGGTGCGTAATCGGCACTAAGGCTAGCATTGCCAACCCTAGTAAGCCTCCAATCACACCAACAGAAAAAGCATCATATCAAAGAAATAATCATCCATATACCAATACAACCATGTTTGAGCGATACATGGAGTCACTAGAGTATAAAAACTGAAGTATGCAAACGTGCTCGTACACCAAAATCAATATAGCAATGGACAAGATCGCTCACTAAAGCTACCATTGTAGCCTGAAATAGAAATTTGGGAAATGGGGGGAGAAGGGTGAGTACAAAACTCAGTAAATGATAGAACTATTATAGACATGCAGGGACATAAATCGAAAACATGTTAAACACAAATATCATTTTATCAATCTGTAATAACGTAATTTATGAAAAACCACATGGCCTTAGGTAACACATATAGTATATATGAACAGTCAGAATTAGGAAATCAAACACTTGTCGAAGTATCAGAACATATCACATATCTTATGTCACGACAAAGCATATCATGTTAGAAATAATCAACTCACATGTCACATATCGCACCGTGATTCCGTGCCAGAACTAGAATTAGAACATAGAAGGCACATAGTGCCAGAACACCACCATGTTTCTCAGAATCAAATCACATAAAACTCTCGACAAGTTAATTTTAAAAACTATAGTATCATCGAGGCATGTATGTAAATGAATACAAAATATTTCCAAGCTCATCACAGTTTAAAACAGTTAGATACATGTCCCTAAATGTGATATCAAAATTCAGAATTTATATCCAAAAGATGACAGAAAATCGGAGTGTCAACACATGTACAGAAAAGCATTATCACTCACCGGACATGTCAGAACCGAAATCCAAAACTTTAATAGACGGCTCACTGGTCAAAGCGTGTCTGCTCCGATGTATCTAAAATCACCAAATCACAAGTCAGAATCAGAATTGGAATTCACCCCAAAAGACTCAATTATCGAAAGTGGCTCTGGACCCCCTATCTGGCCCTTAACACGCATTTCAAGATGTCCCTACTTGACTCTATTTGACATCCAAACCAAAACATAACCTTATTCTTAACAAATTTCTTAAACCGAGACAAACCAGACTCCAAAAGTGTTAAACTGGCATGAACCGGCTCTAATACCCCATAGACAGACCAAACCGGCCATGAACCACCCAAAACCAAACTGAACTAGACTAAAACCCCACTGAACCGGGCTGAACTGGCCCCCATTTCCCATGAACCAAGTTGAACTATGCTTAAATCTCCATGAACTGGGGTAAACTGGACTGAACCAGGCTTGGATCCCCATGAACCAGGTCGAACTAGTTTCAAACTACACAGAACCGGACTGAACCGACTAGAATTCTCACAAAATCAAGCTGAACTGGGCATAAAAGGCGTTGAACCGGCCCCAAAAACCATAAATAAGCCTATTTAACACTTAATCCCCAAAAATGCAGGTGAATCGGAATGGTTCACCGCCCAACTCCGGTCAGTCACCTACCCCATGCTTTCCTGGACCAGCAACTGGTTTGACCCTCTGGGTCCGGACTGGTTTAACCCTCGAAACCAGCTGATTCTAGCCCAACTGGGCTGAACCGGCCCAATAAACCCAGGATAGACCCAGATACCATTCGGGTCTGTCATTTTCACCCGGAAACCTGAGTCGCAGATCTGGGTTCCTGTAACACAATCGAACGCCCATAAACCAAAAATTCAAGATTTTACTACTTACTTGGCAAAATCAAGGCCCCCAAACTGGAATTCCGAGCCTCCCAAGCTGGTTACCAACTTTAATCAGATCAATTTGAGCTCAAAATTTCCTAATTTTCTTGAAAAATCCTGTCAGCACAGTCAGCTCTTCCCAACTCCCTTTCTCCCCGATTTTTACTCAAAAGCTCAAATTGAACACACCAACTAATTCATCTCTCATCCTCGCACAAATATTCAACATCTTGGAGAAGTCCTCGTGCTCCTATTGGAGCAATTTCTGCCTTAAAGACCTTCGGCCAACTTTCGGCCAAAGGTCCTTGCCTTATTACAATCAAACCCTTTTTTCTTTCAATTTTTTCAAAACACCCCTTAACTCTTTTAATTCATTCCACCACACCATTAACCTTTGAATTAAAATTTCCCCATTATTAAAATTAAATAAAAATTAGGGCCATTACATTCTTCCTCCCTTAAAAAATTCATCCTCAAAATTTTAATACTAGTGCGTACCTTGTACGTCGAGCAGATAGGGGTATCTCTGGCGCATAATCTCCTTGGATTCCCACGTAGCTTCTTCTGATGTTCAACTTCTCCATAGTTCTTTTATGGAGGGCACTCTCTTTAATCGAAGCTGCTTAAATTGACAGTCCAATATAGCCCCCGGCTCCTCCTCGTAAGACAGATCCAGATCCAGCTAGACATCCTGTGATGAAATCACGTGTGACAAATCTGGCACGTATTTCCTTAGCATAGAAACATGAAATACCAAATGTACCATTGACAACTTAGGCGAAAAAGCTAAACGGTATGCAACAGCTCCAACTCAATCTAATATCTCATATGGGCCGTTGTACCTGGGAGTAAGTTTACCCTTTTTGCCAAACTTGACCATGCCTTTTATCAGGAAAAACTTCAAAAAGACATGATCTCCAACAATAAACTCCGAAAAGTGACGCTGATGGTCTACATAAGCCTTTTGTCTACTCTGAGCCGCAGACAGTCTATCTCTAATCAACAGAACTCTGTCCACCACGTCCCGGATCAAATCCAATCCTAGCAAACTCGATTCCTCGGCTTCAAACCAACTGATCGGAGATGTGCATCGCCTACTGTACAAAGTCTCAAACGGTGCCATCTGTATACTGGGCTGATATCTATTGTTATACGCAAACTTAATCA